ATAGAGACTTGTCATAACTTAAAATAGTTAATAACATATATAAAACATATTAATAAAACACCTATTTTCTTTTAATTTAGAAATTAGTAAATTAATTCCATAAATACTAATTCCATCAATAATAGATTACTTTGGAACGGATATTTTAAATCTAGTGTTCTTACACGTCGCATGCCACCCAGGTCACGCAACGGCGCTCATTTATTTGTATCAAATAAATATCACGCCCTAACCACCTGTTTTTCAGTTTTGTTGTATATTTTAGCATGTAATGACTTAAACAGTCGCGAAGCATGGGTTACTAGCTCCCGGAGCCACAAGAGCAAAAAATTGAGGGAAGGGGCCGCCCTTAGTATCTAAGTCTCTTAAAAATATGAAATCGGTAAAAGTCTTCTATAGTTTATACATATAATTAAAAAAAAAAACATGTATTAGAAATCTCATTAATGCTACAGTGTTCCTTTTTTAACAAAATAATTCAGTAAGCCCCATTATTTATTTTTACTGGCTTGAAACTGATCTCCGCTAACAGTATTAGAGTTCTGCCCCTCTTGCGCCCTGCTGTACCACTGCACTTAGTCTGTGGATCTTTAATTAATTTGGATGTTTGGAGATTTATGAGAGCTTGATGAGCTAGCCTTTAGCATATTGTGACAATTATGCAAAGGAGCAAATCTTAAGTTAATTAGTATTCTCAATGTCACATCTCTTTCTTCCTTTTTTAGTTCTTATTGTTATCTACATTTTTACATTTTTATTTTTATTACATAAAAATGAAAAAAAGTCATGTGTTACAAATACTTCATAATTGAATAAAAACAAAAATTTATCTATATATATTTAATATATAAATAAAAATTTTAATATTTCTAATTATAGATCTTTATCTATCAATAGAATATATTAATTACATTTTGATATTTGAAATAGAAACATATAAGCATATCTTTGGTCACTCGAATGCAGAATTTTAAATCTAGTAAGCATTTTTCAAATGGAAAACTATTGCTCAACTTCTATTATATACAAACCTTTCCCCCTTCTTAATATTAATTAATTTATAAAACACTATAATTCTTACATGGTGCTGGTATACTGATAGCAAATGAACAAGGTATTTTTTTTAGCTTTAATATTAATCTCTTATCAGGAACTCTGTTTTATACATATATTTAAAATAAAAAATTAATAGGCTTAAACGGGTCTGCTTGAAAATTATTATTATAGGTATTATTTGTACACACATTAACCGGAAAAAAATGACACATGTTAGTCCTAAATATAAAATCTTAGCATGGATTTTTTGTACCTACTGAAATCGATCTAGGGAAATTGTTTAAAGGTAGGGAATGTGAATCTAAAGGCCCTAAATTCAAATAAGTTATCCAGTATTTGCCACGAAACACTCTCAATACAAACGTTTGAGGTTACATTTAGACCGATATTAACATAATAATAATGTTTAAAGCATTATGCTACTTGGTATTTTTTAAATAATAAGTTACGAGTGTTTACTTATTCCCTAGATCAAACTAAAACAAATAGAAAACAGAAATCTGGCAACATTTCTTCTCAAATATATTTTGCAACATAGAGGCCTCCTTTTCCCCCACTTTCAAATATTTCAAGCTCGAACAATGAAGATATCGATTACGGCGTTGTGGTAGTAATAACCAGTTATTTAGGTAATTTGAGTGCACTTATTTGATTTGGAGGAACATGAGTCCTTTATAAATTTTATTTTATATTTATTATTGTCCTGAGTATATTAAAATTAAATTTAAACACCGGAGGCGTTTTTTTCATTAGTTTTAAAATTTCATCAAATAAAAATGAATATACAAACGACTTACTAAAAATAAATCGATGTTTATCTAAGACACTAATAAGACAATACCAGACGTATTTATACATTTAATTTGGTTGTTTGTCTTACGTTATAGCGTATAACTATTAATTTACTTTTTGTGAGGCAAAACTAGGTCCCATTGACACAGATATTATTTGTTGAACTAGGCAAAAGCCACACAATTTATATTACATATTAGTTTAGTGACCAGTGTAAATCTGGTTGTTTGAGTGTGACATTCTATAAATATTTATATAAACATTAAAGTCTTATATTTATTATTTCGAACGTCAGGCAAATGCTTACCCTGCTTTTATTAAGAAACGCGTCCAAAACTTTTTTTTAAAATTGGTTCAAGAATAGGTTTAGTTAGTAGTCAAGTGAGCTCTGTAACAATAGATCTGCATCATACCAATACATCTTTATTATAAGCTTACATAATTGATATGAAAATAAAATGTCATTGATTCAGACCAAAATTACCAACGAAATTGTCCCGAGGGATAGTAAATTCAACCTCATTATTTATTTATATTACATTACATTCATTAATATAACATTTGAAATAATTTTTGTAGAGTAAGTACTCAAGCATATGTATGATGGAGGCTTTGTAGGAAGGCGCACCTTGCATATGGAGGTAAAAAATGGGAGTAGTTGTCCTCTGTCAAGGAGGAACCGCCGAAAATTGGCTGGTGCTGCTGGAGTGGCGGAGGTGTGCGAAAGAGTTCCTGTGGCGTATGAAGTTGGAATACTATGGAAGTTTTATTTGGTGCAAGTACGACATGTCACGTCCCTGTCCCAGCGAGAAGGGTATGCATAGGCATAAATTTCTCATGAAAAAAAGTTGCGGGGAGAACTAGCCATGAACCTGTGAACCGATAAATGTTAGTAATTATTGACTAGTAGCTGGCTTCGCTATACTCGCTATACTTCACGATAGTAGACGATAATAACGTAGAAATATCAAGATATTTTTGTGGGGCTATCGTAAAATCCATTGTTAGTGAGCGTCTACATTGAGAAATGTGTAACTAAAATTTCAAGTCAATCGGGTGTATAGTTTTAAAATATCGTGATGAGTCAGGCAGTATTTCGCAATCTATATTGATTTATTTAATAAATGATAGGTAAATGAAAATCTGGAGCTATAAGTAAAAAAGTAAAGTTACAGCCTATATACGTCCCACTGCTGGGCTCAGGCCTCCCCTCATTTCTGAGAGGGTTTAGGGCGAGGAAGTGTCCGCCGCGCTGCCCAAATGCGTGTTGACGAACTTCACATGTCTTCGAAATATTTTTTTTTCTTATTCCTCAGACATGCAGGTTTCCTCACGATGTTTTCCTTCACCGCCGAGCACGTGGTAAATCAGCACTTAAAATTGCAATTAACAATTTCATTAGTGCCGGCGGGGATCGAACCCGGGTTACTCGCGTTCTGTTATATTTACAGCGAGCGTTAACCACTGAGCTACCACGGCTCAATACATCGAGTAAAGAAATAATCTAATCTATAGCATCTGAAGCTATAGATTAGATTATTTCTTTACTCGATGTTACCATTGCCACTACCATTATAATTAAAGTCCACTGCTGAACATAGGCCACCCCATACTTTGAGTCAATCCCCCCACTTTGCTATTGTTGTCACGCTTGGCAGGTAGGTTGGCTTCCGCAGTTTTTTATAATTTTGAGTCGTTCGCTGCTGCCCACCTCATGATTTGTTTGGGTAGTGGATATTCTTAATTGCTACTACACGGCACACGTTACTCGATGTAATTCCACATTAATTTAAATGAAACAACTACTATGGCAAAAATATCATTTGTGATTTGCATATTGATTGACTTGTTTCACTTATATTCAATTTAAGTACTATAACGCCATCCGGTTTCGCCTAACGTATGGTATGGTATGGCCTAAGATATAAATTAGGTAATACGTTTAGCTTTACGGCGTCATCAGGGTAAAAATAGTAACGAAAATACCCGCAACAAATGAATTTGAGAAAATTTATCAAAAACTGTGAAGTTAGAATACAGCTCAGGGAAATCGTAATGTAATAAAATTTTAAAAAATGCAAATAAATTTAATCAAATAAATCTCAATTTTGCTTTACTAAACAACAATTTACTTTACTGGACGTTCTAAGCGCTGAAAGCGTGTAGTAGATAGACATAATGTGATGAATAATGATGCAGATTCACTGTAGAGTTCTTTCATAGAAATGTTCAAGTACGTCTTATTTATTTTACGGGTAAAACTTTAATGCTTGGGATGGGTACTAGTATTAAACTCAAATGATTATCACAGTTTCAGCTGTTTATATGAAAATCTAATTTGGAAAAATTACGTGTTGTACTAATTATCATAACTGGGAGAGGATTTAGGCATCTACTTTTTAGTTTATGGGTTTGCCTCATAGAAAAAATATTCATGATATACATAACTTCCAAAATTTGCTTATTGTTGTGACTTGATATTACAAAATTTTTTAAATAAAATAGTTTAGAAATAAAACCTAGATAAGGGACATACGAAGAAAAATTACTAAACTTTATTTCACCGTTCTAAAAAATCGAAGGCAAATATGGTGCTATGCTTTTGCTGTTATTTTAAGGCCTAAATTTTAAAAGATATTTATTCATACATACATACTATAAATTAAGCTAAGACTTATGTACAATTTATTAAATAAATGTATTAATCAATAACAATAAACTTAAAGCAAGTGTATCGTACAAGGTTCGTTTAAAGCAAAATGATATAACGAGATTAATAAGCGTAATTACTATATTATGTACTTGTACCACAGCCTAAGAAGAACATAGTAAGTAGCTAGACTGTGCCTGGACCTATAGAAAATTTAACCATATCTACTTTTGAGTCTTTGGTCGTTTACATACATCTATAACGAGTGGAATCCGAAATTTAGTTGAACCACACTATCTATATCGTTGTATAAATTGTCTATTAATATTCACTGCTCACGAGCTATTAATACTTGAGAGAAGCGTTTTGGGGCATACTTATTTGCGTCTTTGACAATTTTTATGCTTAAGCATTTATGATAAATGTTTGTGAGCGGTTAACGGTATTGTGCGAAGGTTATAGACCGCGACGACACCACTTCTGTGAAGGCTAGTGGCATAACTCATACATCAGGCCTAAGCAGGTGCAGATCTACGGCAACGTCTCTTCTTTGTGTGCGAAGAAGTCTCGGAGGAGGTCCGCTCTGCGCAGCGCCCAATAGTGCCGTATCCTCGGCGAGTGAATCTCCAGATCCGTATCCACGCTCGTCACCTGCTTCTCCCTCACCCTCACACCAAGACGGCGAGCCTGAGCTCCCTGATCGCGTGCCACCAGCCTCCGCTTCCGTCTCAACTTCTATAGAGCAACTTGCGCAAACCTCTGAAACCAAACATCAAAGTAGAATTTATTAATTAAGAGGCTCGATGGAATCAAATCGCTTTTCATAAATAATATTAAGTATGCTATTATTACATGAAAATTTAAAATCTACAATTACTTGACACAAATTTACTAACAAAATTAATTAAAAATTAATTTCTAGCAACGATTACACAAAGACAAACATGGAGGATCGCATTTTACATGCTTTATATTAATAATGTGGTATTTCAGCATTTTATAAATTTAATATTTTTTTGTTGTTTTTTGATAATTGATTTTGGTTTCGAGTTCTTCACTCATATCAGATATACTTATTTTTACCGGCCTCAAAATATTCTTATAACATTTGTTGGCATTATTTAATGCAGCAGAGCTGAGCAGTGAGCATAATATATAAAATGATATGCTGGTTACGATACGTACTAAATAAAATTTCAGCAAACAAAACAATCATGTCACATTTTCTTAACTCCACAGGTACAGTTTAATTGAAGTTCATGATTATAAGTTTTTACATATGATGCAGCGCATTGACTACAGACATTCAGGTGAAATTTGCACTGTACCTGACTTTAAATGGTGACACACTTTCTTATTTTTATTTTGCTCACGTACTGTAAAATTAACAGCGAGCGCTTAGCCCCCGAGCTACCACGGCTATCCCTCCATTACAGCCTATAAAAGTCCGCTGCTGAACAAAGCCCTCCCCCATAGATTTCCTCAAAGGGATCTGATCTGAGATAGATTTTGCCATAGTTGACACGCTTGGCGAGCGGGTTGTCAACCGCTGTTTTTTATTATCCCTTTAATCTCTAAACGGTAGAATTCGACCGCGGCGCTATTCCGTCAAAATTCAAGCGGTCGGATTCGACCGCGCACACCCACAGTACTTTAACCCATAAATACTTATATTTAGAGACTACTTTTCTACGAAGAAGTTTGGCATTATAGAATCAATATAAAATTTTCTATCCTCTAGTGGAATAAAAAGTCAGTTAGTCTACGGATATTTATTTATAATCTACGTTCATTACGCCATTTTCGCGTGAATGTTATTGTGTTGATTTTTGGATTTTTCTAGTGTTTTAGTATAGTGTTTTATTATAAAATTGTAATGAAAGTTTTTGTGTGAATACAATTTATCTTTTTACGTAAATAATTTCGAGTAATATATACTGAAATAATTGTGATTTTCACGCTGTCGACATTCGCTTGGTATGTTTTTTTCTTCTTATCAAAATAGAATAGTCTTTTTGTAATGAACTAAAACCTTTTATATAAAGACTTTTGTATAGATTTTATAATGCCGAACTTCTTCATAGAAAAGTAGTCTCTAAATAAAAGTTTTAATGGTTTTAAGTATTGCGGGTGGGTGCGGTCGCATGCGACCGTTCGGAATTTGCCGGGCGCATGCTACTGCATGGGAGTTTTATGGGGATTGAAGGGTTAATTTGAGTTGTTATCAGGCAGATGCCGCTACTTTTTGCTCTTAACTAAACATATTTTTTTGCATATATTGTTGACCGCCTCGTTGGTATAGGTAGGTCGTGAACGCGGTTACTGATCATATGGTTCTGGGTTCAAATTCCGGGTCAGGCTAAAATTAGCATCTCGGGGTCAGGAAATTGGCAGTGCTTCATCCCCGGTGCAGTTGTTCCTACGCCTAATCTCTGTACGGTCCCATTTTGGCTCTGTTGAGACTTAGCACCGTGGCCGAAATTTGGCTTGGAGAACTTTAACGTTCACAAGTGTTCCTACAAAATAATCCGTTTCGGAAATGAACTTTAATAGCGAGAAGTAGTATTCAAAAAGTTCTATGCCATCAAAAATATAACTTCAATCCAAACAAAAATCAAAAAAAAAAACAATCTCGCAACTCAGTTCTTCTACCGTAAAAAGTTGTGAGATCCATGTAACACCAAGTCGGTTAATTTATTCAGTTCCTACTTAAGGGTCCTTCTGTTTAAGTTATTACGTAATTAGCTAACCTAACAACATTTTATAGTGACCATATCAATGTTAAAAATCTTTTATGTTTTAAATATATAGATTGACTTGGCCATCGCACTAAGCAATCTAATTTAATATAATATGTATTACTTGTGAGATTGACTACGAAGTTATAGGGGGTCAAAAATGGCCAATTGCTTCGAGAAAATTATGGTACGGCTGTGCCGCTTTTTTGCTCGACTTGACGTGGGCACTGCCGTGCCCCCAAATTTTATACCCATTTGGAATTGAGAACAAATTTGTGGCAGATTTTTAAAATATGAAGTTTTCTAATGGTTAAAATATTCAGTTCTGTGTGTTTAGAGAGCACAGGAGCGAGGAGACTTTTTGTACATTACAAAAGCTGTACTATAGTTTTAGAACTGAGCGTTGTGCTCGCTCTAATTTTAGAAACGCAGAAGTTCGCCGCCCCAGACCGATGAACAATATATTAATATGGACTGATAGATTGCTTCATACATTTGTTTCAAGGGGCTTATATCGGTAGTATTTCCTACTAACCTAAAGCTGTAAATTAATTTTCGTAATCTTATTGAAAGTTAACCTATATGGTTTCTGTAGGATAAGTCATCATCTAGGATAATTGCCAGATAGTTTTAAAATGCGCTTTTTCCGTGATTCTACAAGAGCAAGCATTTGAAATATTCCGTTTTGGAAATATTATGGATTTTTAATCCGTCAAAGCTGAGCTGTGGAGCTGAGTCGATGTTTTATAAAAATCTAAGTATATTATTTTTAATGCGTTTAATTACGATTCTGACATCTAACCACTGCCGATACACCTGCTTCTAACTTTTAAAATCCTTCTTTACATGTCGAAGACTCGCAAAGTAATGCCCACTGCATTCGTCTGCATAACATATGATATCAGTCCAACTGAAATCTAAAGATGTGATGTCATTTATTTACAGAGAGAACAGAGTACTGCCCTGTGGGACACCGAAGCTTAAAAGCCCTGAGCTTAGCATATCTTCAACACTGACAAACTACACTCCATTTGTGAGATAATCCCCGAATCAATCTAAAGCCACGAATACCCATTTGTTATAATTTCCTTGGTTAGATTTGAATGGAAACTGTGTCAAAGGTCTTGGGTAGGTCAAGAAAAACAAGTTCTTTTTCGAGCTAGTGTTTGTTGCTGTTTGCTCAAGACTATATTGTTGGCTTCAAAGAATTTAAGCAGTAGGTTTTCTAACATTTTAGAATAAGATCCAAGCAAAAATACTGGGTAATAGTTGCAAGCATCACTCTTATATCCGCTCTTGTAAATAGGAAAAACATCTGCCATTTTCCATTTGTAAAATATTTCAGTAGCCAGCATTTTATAGCTTATAGCGATTAAAGAATTATGATTTTGATATGATTTTGTACACATCAGATAACCCATCAGAACATCATAATCAGAATCTCAATTATGATTAAGCTGCAAAAGTAATTCTTCGACTCCCATAGATTGGTCGATGTCAGAAAATAGTTATACGAGTAATTAGTATAGTGTTCAACTTGACTTTATATGTTAGTATCTCTTCAGTTTCATGTAAATTATTAAAAATATTGTGTGCCAAGTTTTTGTTACCGATTTAAAATATTTGTTACATATTTTTATTAAAAGAAAAACTCAATATTTGATATATTGAGTTTTTCTCGGAAAGCACGTAAAGCCGTTGGTCCTGCACATATTCTCTCTCCGATCGTATCGGTTTACCATCCCATCGGACAATGAGAGTGAGAGAACATAGAGTACACCTGTGCTTGCACATACACTTAGGCACTATAATCCTGTCCTGTGCTGATGGTTGGTCTCCGTTAAAGCTGGCCGCCGCGATCGACATTGCGGTCTGGAGTACATAAAATGATTATGAGGACGTAATATTTAAAGTAAAAAGCTCATTTGGCAGAAAACTTTATTTCAATAAGTAAAATTTACGCTTGTGTTTAGAGTTAGAGCACTTAAGCACTCCAGAAATGGTCCAAGAATCGCAAAGAATTAAAGAAACAGAAATTTGAAATGTCTGTTTCCTTAATTTGAATTATTGAAGTAATATGTACTTACGTACACATAATAGCTCAATGATTTAAATCAATACTTAATTACTGAACACTTAATTACTGCACTCAATAATAACTGTACCGTAATCCAGTTTATGCAGTGCTGTATCTTATTAATTAGATAAAACTGCCTAACATGAAAGTTTATACTGAAAAATTATTTGACTTTTAAATAATTTTGTGTTATATTTACGTTTTTTTTAAAAGCTTCTTTCATTTGAGGTTATCTTACAGGTGTTGGAAAAAAGCCGTAAGATATCTATAGTCATCTCTTATGTCGTCCTCGTATTGTAAATATTAAAAACATATTTAATTTTTCTTACTTATTTAAGAGATTTTTATTATTAATTTCTCAATTATTTTAACTAAATTAGTTACATGTCCTTTTTACTAAAACGTTCTTGAATTATCCAAATATCTTCTATTTCTCTAAAATTAGTATTTATCTTAATACTGATCGAAATAAACGCTCTAGTAATCTTACATAAGTATATAATATGTGGGTACGTCTATAAAGAGCTGAAAAAAAGAAGAGAAACAAAGTACAAATTTCAAAACTATTGTTCATGTTGACACGTCTGCTTTGGTAGCTGCGGCAAAATCAACTGACCACTTCTCCGCTGTGATGTTAAAGCGGGCTACATACGACACGATATCGGTGGCGATCTAGGGTGGAGTAGTGGGGATGCCTCCTAGATTGCCTCTAAATCGTGTCGTATGTAGGGCCATCCTAAGTCGTGGCCGATATCGCCTCCTTAATCGGCTGGCAGGAGCAAAAATGCTTCCTAGATCAGCCGATGCTTCCTAGATCAGCCGATGCTTCCTAGATCGGGGCACCGCCCCCTCCTTACTGCGTGTGTGTAGGCGCATCGGCCCGATTTCTTTTGGCAGTCGCTGCCGGCAACCCTCGCGGAAGGAAGTTAACAAAACAGTGATAC